TGTATTAAGACAGATAACAGGCCTGCCTACTGCAGCAAAAGAATAAAGCAGTTTATGCAAATGTGGGGAATAGAACATGTGACAGGCATCCCTAATTCCTTGACAGGGCAAGCAATCGTAGAAAGAGCTAATGGTACCTTGAAAAGATATCTAGGTAAATACAAGGATATTAGAGAGCTGCAAGAAAGCCCATTAAGGTGTTTATTTGTTTTAAATCACTTGTGTGTTTTTGGGGAAAGCAAGGTTCCTGCTGTAATTCACCACTATGTACAGGAGAAAGAAAGTGTAAAGCAAGATGTAAGGGTAAAATACAGAGATCCCAAAACAGGACAATGGCAAGGTCCTGCTAAGGTGTTATATTGGGGCCAAGGATATCTTTGTGTCTCTACCCCTACAGGATCCTTATGGGTACCTGCTAAATGGACCCGAGCAGCTGTGTGAGATGGAACCACCAGAACTCCATCAGCTGAGCACAGAAGACGGTCAGCGAGTAGAGACGAAGCTGTTGATCGTCCTTCGACCAATCATGCATGGGCCCCCCCTCAGCCTAAGACTAACATTTGGATCACCCTGGCAAACTTAACTAACCAGGAGGCTATTAGCCTGTCATTATCTTCTCCCGGTAATCCATTTACAACTTGCTTGGTAGGGCTACCAGCAGGTCCCTGGCCATGTCCCTCAGGTGTACCCACCTGCAAAACTGACAATCCTAAGACAAGTGTAGATAATTGGGACCAATGGGTTTCTCACTTCCCCATAGCACCACAAGAACCCCAAGAATTGGAGCTGTTAGGTTCAGTGATGGCAGATGCATGTATTAATTTTAACCATAGAAGCCAGCTTTCAGCAAAAAACCATTCCACTATTGTAACTTCCAGCATGGCTGTGTATTGTAATGCAACAGCTTGGTGCAATTATACCACAGGGAAAGTGTCAATCTCATCAAATGACCCTATTCAACTGCCAGCAGGTTACTTCTTAATCTGTGGGGACCGTGCTTGGCCTGGTGTCCCATCGATGCTGCACGTACATTGGGCCATGTACAATTGGATGGCTGTCTCTGCTTACTCCCAATACGTCCATGATATTAAACATGAGCCACCACCGTCATCAACATAAGAGAATGATCCATGCATTTACTGCTGACTGTAGGGACGATGTAAAATTTTGGTCCCCAGGGGCCATAATTGCAGCATCCTTTCTGACTCCAGGGGTGGCAGCCGCAGGTGCCCATGGTACCCTAAATAAGTTGGGATGCTGGCTTGCAAAGCAAGCCAATGCCACCTCTTTGGCACTTTCTAGCCTTTTGCTTGATGTTGATTCTATTTGTCACACAACGCTTTAAAATAGAGCTGCGATTGACTTTCTTTTACTTGCACAAGGCCATGGTTGTGAAGAATTTGAGGGCATGTGTTGCATGAATCTTTCTGACCATTCGCAGTCCATCCATGCCCAGCTTGCTGAATTGCAAAGGTTAACTGGAAACTTACAGGTAGAATCAGGTTTCGGTATTGATGGATGGCTCTCATCGTTAGGCCTGGGATCGTGGTTACGTTCTGTTGTTAAAGTTGGCATTATAGTGGGCATTATAGCTCTGTTAGTAGTGTAATTTTGCCGTGTTTTTGCATGTGCTTACAGAACATGGTGCAAAGGATGATATCTGCTGCATTTAATCAGACTATGCTTGTCCAACAGAAAAATGGGGGAAGTGTGGAGAGCTTTGTGGACAGTTGGTTAGCTGAGAAAGGTCACGTCGACGTAGTGTCGCTGGTTAAGCGTGAAAGGGACAAGCATAGAAGCCAGTAGTAAGTGTCCAATAACAGGCAAGGACATTGTGCCCTTGGTGCAACAGCAGGATAGGGGAGAGCATCTTTGGCAGAAATACAAAGAAAAGTTTCAATAAAATATCCACAAGAAGGCAGAAGTAGGCAGAGTTGCCTGATAAGTAACTAACCAATACTGAGCTCGCTTTTGCAATATGTATGAGATTCATTAACACTGATATAAAGATGTGTACCTATCAATAAAGTTTGAGATTTGCTGATCACTCATATTGCGTGCTGCATTTCTCCCGCTGGTCCCAACAGCTTACAATAGGACACAGCTGGTCCACTGTACCTTGTAAGGCTCCACTAGCAATTTGTCCCTGCACACGTGCTCTGGCTACCTTGTCACCAACTCTTTGCTGGTTTGGTTAGCTCTGTCAACATGAAATCAGTATCACCTTATTCTGGCTCTTGACTCTTGACTATGAACTCCAATCTTTTTGCTACTTTGCTAGGGTTTTCTCTATCCATTTTAACTTTTTCTCACCTACTGGTGACGTCACTAGTAGAAAAGCAGATGTTCACCCACATGGCTTCTCCTGGGGGACTCAAGACTTGCCTTAAGGGGGTGACTAAAGGCAAAGCTTTCTTGGTTTTATTCCTTTGGTTGCTTGTCACTGGGGGTCTCCGAAATTGTCCCCTCACCTGGATTATTCATCTCATCCTCACTGCCATTTGGCTTTCATTCAGGGTGCAGAGTGGTTGCCTGAGGGAGAGTATACCCGTGCTGGCCTGGACTAACTCAGCTCTAAGTCTTGGACACCTAGAACACAATCTTCCTGGTGCATTTGAGCCAATTTCAAACATCTCTGCCTTATGCTGAATGCTGAACGACATCTTTCTTTTCTGCCTCTTATCTCTTTCCAAAGTTAGGACTAAAGGTCCTGTGGGGCCAAATCAAAGCCACATTCTTTCTGACACTCAGGTTTATTCTTCAGGGTAAAAAAGATGTCTGCATATATCACTGGATCTCATTTTTCTTCTTGTCTTAAAAATAACATCAACTGTAACAATGGATCATAAAGTTCCATTTGGGGTCACTTTTCACCACTTTCTAATTGATACCAAGCCTACTATTGGGTAAGAGTATTTAATCAGATTAACTTTCCTTGAAAAATTACCCTCCAGGATTCCTCCCAAATCTTTCTCATCTGCTAAATTACATTCTCGTGGACTCATTTTAATACCATCTTTACTTCTTGTGTTATTCATTCTTCATGCTATCTAAATTTCCAAACTTAGCAGGATGTATTAATACTTCTCTTTTCCTTCTCTTTATCCCCTGTAGACTACACTTAACACACATGGGCTGACTCTGAATCACCCAGCAACAATATTTTTTTTATAGTCTTAACAAGCAATGAAAACCAAAGGATTCCATGTGTGGAAAATTGATATGATTCGTGCTGTAAAATTGAAACCACAATCAATATTGATACAGCAATTAATAATTGCAAGTCATAAAACATTTAAAAGTTGTAATGCCAAAAAAGAAAGAGATAGGAGTGGTTCCACCCCCCCTCCCTGCAGATGTTGAAGGACAGGAGGAAAAAGCAAGAGATAACAGTTACTAAAAATTAACAAAAAGAAGGGACAATCTGGTTGGGTCCCAGGAAAATGCCAGCTGTAAGAGATTTATAACTTTGATGCTTAAATGCAGTAATATGTTAGTTTTGGCTTTCATTGTACTGGCTTGATGTGCATGTGTAACCCAAAGGTGAATTAAAGGACATAGATGAAGAATAGAGGCTTTCATCAGTGACGACCCCCAAAGACTTATGTGACCACCAAAACAAGTGGTGGCGCATGCACAGTAAAGGTGGTGATGAGGGCGGAGGTAGAAGTGTGATGAATCGAAAATGGGAGGAGATGACATTGACACATGGCATATAAGGGAGGAATCTTCACTTGGCAAGCTCGTACGTGAGGTGGCAAGGGTCTAGGGGCCCTGCATTCTGTACCTCGTGGTTATCTTTTGCTTATGCACTATTATTGGAACCAAATTATCCCTTAGTTTTAGCCCAATTATATTGTTAATATTTCAAGTGTATCCAATTTTATATATTTTCTAAACTTTTCAATTAAAATTGCTGCTACCTCTAATATTGTTTGATTTTTTGATGATGGGATAATTGGGCAAACATAACAATATGGAAAAACAGGCCTGGGAGCCTCCCTCATGGCTGCTTACCACACAACTCATCTTTGAGACGGGCGCTTCACCTTTTATACCTCTGGGGGCTGCATCAGCCAACCCTGGCCCCTCCCAGAGTCTGTCAGTCAACTCTTCTTTGCCGTTTATTGGTGGAGATTGCTTTCCTGCAACTTGATTGGCACGTCAGGTGTTGTCATGCTGTGCCCTCCAGTAGCAACGAGCTTTTTCATTCTCAGCTGCCTTGTAGGAGGGGCACACGTACACGCCTTCCTTTTACCTGTGCTAAATAACTCAGGCTGCCCGGTGTCGACAATACAGAGGTTGGGGAAAGGGGACTGTGAGGAGAACAGAGGGCATCTAAACAATAAACTACAATAACATACCTATACATCAAGAAATCTTCTCCTAATATTCACACAGTATTCATTCCTTAATTGTTAGGGCCAATCATCTCATTATTCATCTATAACAATTTTTATTTTTATTTTTACATTTTCCTACTGTTATTCCTACTCCCATATCTTTACCTGAGAGCCCCTTAATTCCAAAATTTTAATAATTCAGGGGGAAGGGGTTTATAGTTTCCATTTCCAGAGAAGTTCCTTCCTTCTTTAACAGACACCTGTCTTTCAAACCAAGACAGAGCCCCAAAAATCCCACAAAGATCTGCACAACAACATGACCGGGTCCCTCCTTCCTGAGTCAAACAGGGCAGAGCTGAACAAACAAAAACCATTTCTCCTGGTTTAACGAAAAAGCTGTGTTTTGGGTCCCATAAGAGGGACAGTGATGTTGTGCCCCCTGGTACTGGGGGAGGGAATGGGGAGCTCCTGCGGGTACTGGGGGTACTGGGAGCACTGGGAGCCCTGGAATGGAGCACTCTGGGCAGCCCCACATGGGACCTCACACTCATGGCCCCCCCTCCATGGCACAGTGGGCATCCATGGGAGCTAGGGGGAGGACACACAGTGGGAGGTGCCCTCAGGCAGGGATCTCCAGTGCCCCCTGTGCCCCCAGTGTCACAGCATGTTCTCGTAGATGTCACTGGAGTCCTGCTGTTGCCCATGGGGTCCTGGCAGCTCTGCATTGGTCACCTGGGGGGTTGTGGCACAGGTGGGCACTGCAAGAGACACCGGTTGGGGGAAGCTGGATGGGAGGTGACACCTCTAGGGTGACATGTCCCTGTCCCCCCACCTGTACTCACCCCCTGTCTTCTTGTTTCACCTGACCTGGCTGTACAGCACCTCCCCTGCCTCTGGAGGGGCCGAGGGCCCTGGGGGGCCCCTGCAAGGATAAGGGGGTGTCTGTGGGGGTGTGGGGGGTTGTAATGAACATAAAATGGGGGTTCAGGCCTGGACCCCCCACTCACCTTTCCTGCTGTTTCCTGAGGGCTGCAAAGGAAAGGGGGGAGGGGTGACTATGGAGTCCTCAGGGCCCCTGAACACCCTTGAGACCTCTGACTGCCCCCAGGAGCCTCATGCATCCCTGAAGCCCCTAATGAGCCTTGAATCACCCACTGAATCCACTGAGCCCCCAAACTCCACCAAACCCCTGACAGAACCCCCAATGTCCCTGCACTACCCTGCAGGACCTCCCCAAATCCCCCAGGACCTCCAGGTGAGATCTCTGGGGATTCAGCTTCACCCAAGTCAGGAGCTGTTGGTGCCGCCATCTGGACCCTGAACTCTGTGGGGACTTCACCCCAATCCCTGGGACCCCCATTCCCCTTCATTGTCACGCACCTGGGTGGTGCCACCAATGCCAGCCTCCAATGACAGCTAGGAGCAGAACCAGGAACAGGAGGGACCCACAGACCCCTGCGGCCACTGCTGGGGACAGAGAGGGACACATTGGGGTCACCCAAAACCCCGGGGGTCCTGAACTCCCCATGTGACCCTGTGTGACCCTACCTGTGCCCTGTTCCTGTGTTGTCACCTCCAGGGCCAGCTCTGAACTGAGTGCCTGGTTCCCGTCCTGTTGGTTGGTGACCATGCACTGGTAGGTGCCCGAATGTCCCACATCGACAGCCCTGAGCTCCAGGAGGGGACCCCGGGCCACCGCCTGTCCATTGTGCAGCCAGGTGAAGGTGACAGGGGCTGAGCCCACCTGCACAGAGCAGCGCAGGGTCACGTTGTCTCCTGAGCGCACCAGGTGTGACAGGGGACTGAGGGTGATGGTGGCATTGGCCACGGGCACTGTGGGGACACAGACAAGGCTGGCACCTGGTGAGGTGGATGGGGGTGCCATGGGTGGGGTCACCCCAAGTCTGAGGGTCCCGCTCACAAAGGACAGTGACATTCAGGGGGACATTCTCAGCCATGCTGTCCCTGCACTGGCAGTGGCCGCTGCCATTGTCCCCAGTGTGGTGCAGCTCCAGGTGGGGCCAGTGCCAAGGGGTGCCCCTGAGCCCTCCCGGGTACCAGGAAATGGACAGGTGACCTGTCCCTGTGGCCACCGTGCAGCTCAGCACAAGGCTGTGCTGACAGAGACACCCCCGAGGGCAGAACCCCTGCGGGAGAGGGTAACACCAGGGAGCATTGAGGGACTTGGGGGGAGGTCAGGGAGGGGCAGGGAGATCCCAGTGAGGGAGAGGAGAGGCGGTGCAGAGCTGCGGGGTGGGAGGGGCTTGGATAGGTACCCCAAGGAAGGATGGAGTGTTTAATGAGGGGACACATGGAGCGGGAGATGGGACGACCCCAGTGCGGGTATGGAGACCCAGAGAGGGTATGGTGAGACTTGGGGACTGCGGGGAAACAGCAGAGAGGGGTGGGGTTGACTCAGAGATGGGTGGAGGGGTCCAGTGAGGGATGGGGGGAATGGGGCAGTAATGGAGGTACCCAGGCAGGGCACCCGAGGAGGCAGTGAAGGCTCCCCGTGCCCATCCCGGCACTCACTGCGCACCTTGACGCAGAGCTGGGCGCTGCTCTTCTGCACGGTCCCCCCCTCAGAGTGCACCTGGCAGCTGTAATTACCCGAGTGGGAGACCCCCATGGCGGGCACCAGCAGCTGCAGGGACCCCTGTGGGCCCCCCAGCACCCGCCCGTCCCGGTAGAACACGTGCAGGAGGGGGGCTCGGGGCCGCAGGGGGCTGGGGGTGCTGAGGCAGCTGAGAGTCAGGGGGGCCCCATTAGTGGGCTCAGAGTGAACTTCCAGCACCGGCACCGTGAAAAGCTCTGGAAAGGAGAGGGGAGGGAGATTTGTGAGCCCGAGTCACTAGGGAGAGGCTGTGGGGTGGGTTAGAGTGACAGTTGTGGAGTGCTCACCATGCAATGTCAATGTCACTGATTCTGACTTCTCCCATCCCCGTGATACCGTGGATTTCACCCAGCCCCTGCAGCTGTAGCGGCCGCTGTGTTGCAGCTGCAGAGGGGACAGGGACAGCTCGGTCCCATCGCGGAGCTCCTGCAGTTTCTTCTCCTTGTGGTAGAAGGACACTGAGCTGACCGGGTTGTCCCGCCAGCGCCGGCAGCACAGTGTCACCATGTCCCCCTCCAGCAGTGCCTGTGCCGGCACCTGCATCACCAATGGGGCTGCGGGACACGGGGGTCCTGTTACACCTGGCAGGTCCCAATGCCATCGCAGCCCCCATATTGGCTCACACACAGCACACCAGGGATCCCCAAATCCACAAACAGGGTCTGCCAGCACTGGGATGCTCTGGGATGCTCTGGGATGCCCCCAGAGTAGGGGACAGGCTCTGGTCACACAGGAGGTGACCAATGGAGCAGAGCCCACCCAGAGCCCAGGGGTCAATGCTGGTGCCAGGATGGGGACACCCAAACCCCCCTCATCATCTAAGACTGTCACAGGAGGGCTGAGCCCAGTGCCGGGTCTCTCACACGTGTAGTTGCCTTTCTCAGTGACAGTGAGGTGGTTGTGTCTCTCCTGCCCCCAGCGCTGCCCATCCTTGTACCAGGTGGTGACACCAGTGTTCCCCGAGCCCTGGCAGGTCAGTGTCACCCGGTCCCACAGCACTGCCAGCATCCAGGGGGGCTCCACCAGGACCTGGGTGGTCTGGGCACCTGCAGGTGACCGGGGACACCAGCCTGCCATGGCCAGTGTGGGGCTGGGGACAGCAAGGTGGGGCCATGGCATCCCCCGAGGACTCACCAGCGAGGCCGAGGGTCTGGGTGGGAAGGGAGAAGGGACAGGGCTCAGTGAGTGTGACACCATGGGGACAGTTGTGCACAGGGGAATGGTTCATAGGGGCTGCCCTTGAACTGTCCCCCTGAGGGAATTGGTGTGGCACAGATGTCTCGATGGAGACACTGTGCTAGCACAGGTCTCCCCCGACAGCCCCATGGCCTCTGTCTCCATGGCCCATCCACATTGTGCTTGTCCTCTTCTCCCTGTCCCTGCATCCCTGCATCCCTGTGTCCCTGTCCCCACAGCTGCCCCAGCCCCAGGATGCCTCTGCCCACATTCCTATCCCTCCAGCCCTGTTCACCCTCTCCTGTCCCCACAGCCACCCCATGACCCCAGTCACTTCATGCTCTGGCTCTGCTGGCATTGGGAACCTCAGGGAACCCTGCAGCTCCCCTGTGCCCCCTCCCCACCACTCTCTGCCTCACCAGTGCCCATCCCCGGGGTACTACCAGTGCGGCCTGTGCCTGGGGCACTCACCCCACGGGATCAGTGCCACCTTCCCGGCCATCCCGGTGTCCCCAGCCATGTGCACTGGCTGTCACTCACTGCTGTGGCCACCGCTCCCCTGGCTGGCGGCTCTTTGGATGAAGGGGAAGGAAGCGAGGTCACATCTCGTCCCCATGTGTAGGTGGCACCTAGTGGGGGCAGGGTGGCCACAAGCTGGGGACAGGCTGTGGGCAGGGTGGGGACATGCTGGGGACAAGGCTGTCTCTAGGTCGGTGGGACCTGAGCTTCCCAGGAGCAGGGGGGCTCAGGGGGTTTGGGGAGCCAGGGATGGGTGTCCAGGGGAATGGGGAGTCCAGGGAATGGGGGTCCAGGGAATGGGTCCATGGGGAATTGGGGTCATGAGGAGGGGGAGTCACGGGGGTTGGGGTGCCATGGGAATGGGGGTCCCCAGGGCTGGGGGGACTCAAGGATGGGAGTCCCAGGGGATGGTGAGCTCCAGGGATTTGGTGTCATGTTTTTGGTTTGCTAATTTGAGATATTTTGGTTAATGTAATATTTAGTGTGGTGGGTTTAGTGTTGGTTAATTATTAGTGCATTTATCAGAATGTATTTATTTCTTTTTTGTTTTGAGATGAGACTAGGAGAAAGGTAAAGTACATTTAAAATTTTAAAAGGGTATATAAGAAAATATTTTAATTGTAATAAATCCCTCATCAAGGCATTTTTGTGCCAGAGATGGGTGCAGGGGGAATGGGGGGGACCTGGGAGAATGAAAGTCCCGGGGCAATGGGGATTTCAGGGCATGGAATGAATGGGAGAGGGTTTCTTGGGAATGGGGTCCTGGGCCATGGAGTTCCTGGGCAATGGCAGCCCTGGGATGGGGGTCTCAGGAAAGGGGCGACAGAAGGAATGGGGGTCCCATGGTCAGCTTCCCAGGGGAATGAGTTTGCCAGGGATTTACAGTGACAGGATGTGCATGTGGGTCACAGCTCCTTCCCTGGGTGCCTCAGATTTTGGGAAGACTCAGGGGCTAGAGCTGCCTGCTGGGTTGCCCGTGATTTGGGGGGGGCAACAAGAGGGGATTCAGAGCTGCTCTGAGTCTGTGTCCCCCCCCCAACGCCCAGGGGCATTTTCTGTTCTTCATTTCCATTTCCTTCCTTTTATCCCTCAATTTCACAACCTCCCAGTTCATGCCTTGATGATCCTGGGGAGCTTCTGAGTAGGGAACGAGTTGGGGGAAGCCCAGGGTGGGGGAAGCAGGGGTGAGGGGTCTGCAGGGAGGGCTGGGGAGGTTGTGGGGGATGGAGGAGTCAGCTTTCACTCTGCCTACACTTTCACTTTCTCTGTCCTGCAGCAGATGGAACAGGCCGTTTGTGCTGAGTGTCACATGGGAGGAGGGTTCTGCCCTGGGGGGGGCAAATAAAGGGGGCTCCTGTCCTGGGGGGATCGTGTCCCAGGGGGGACACATGCTGGACAAGGGGCTCCTGTCCTGGGGGATGGCAGCTCTTGGTGTTACCAGACTTCTCCATTCTTGCTCGTCCCCTGCAGGATCTGAGCCAGCAAGAACAGCTGGGGAATGGAGCCCCAGGCAGGAAGGAGCTCCCAAACTCCTGCTCCTTGAAGCCAGTGGCCATCCAAGGGTGGGGCCCAGCCATGGCCCAGCCCCACTGCACAGGGATGGCCATTGCCCAGCCCTGCTCTGGCCAGCCCCAGGTGGCAGCCAGCAACTGAGGGTCCCCCCTGCCCCCTTGGCTTTGATTCTGACAGCCTTAGAGCTGCTGCAGAGGTGAGAATTGTGTGGGGGAAAAGGCCTCTCTGTGGTTTGCTGAGCCCTGCAAGAAGCACAAACCACAAAGGGAGCCCAAGCAGTGGCTCTGTGAGGGCCTTTGATGGTTTTCAGAGCAGGGCTGACTGGAAACGCCCCTGCAGAGGCATTGAGGGGGAGCCAGTCCAGAAATGCAGCAATTGATCACTTTGTCCCTTTCACCAAGTATTGTAAATACATATTATATTACTGGAATTTAACAAATGTTAAAATGGAATTTTTATATGTAATGTTAAAGTAACTTTGTTACAAAGATATATTTTTTATGTCTGTTGTTAATTAAGCTTTGTGAAATAGCTGATATAAGGATGCTTGTGAAAAAATGCCTGCTTGGATGGGACAACATCTGATGAAGACAGGATGAGGACACCTGCTACAGATATGCCAACCATCAGCACTCACCACCTGAAGACAGTGTAGACCAAGGCCCAGAAATGAAGATGATTATAAGAAATGTCTAAAAGCAGAATCAAGGAATAATGCTCTAAAAAGGCAGATCCAAGGAGGAGCCATGCTAAACAATTCTTGGAATGTAAATTAGCTTGGGGAAAAAGTTTTCTATGCATAAGTGTCTATGAATATGCAACAGGCTGATCTAAGGGAAAAGGTATCTAAGAGGTATCCCCGAAGAGAACAGTGTGCTCTTGGCTGCGTGCCAAGATGCACCCACCCATAGCAACCTTTGCTCTATGGTCCTTGTCTCCTATTGTCCTTTATTAAACTTCTAAAATTCTCACAGGAGAGAGAACATGGTTTTCACATGCTGCAAAGATGAGAATTCAGTGGGGGAAAAAGGCATGCCTGTGGTTTGCTCAGCCCTGCAAGAGGCACAAAACCCAAAAGGAGCGCAAGCAGTGTCACTGAGAGGGCCTTTGATGCTTTCCAGAGCAGGGCTGGCTGGAAACTGCCCCTACAAGGGCAGCTCTGGGAGAACCAGTCCAGAAATGCAGCAATTGATCACTTTATCCTTCTAGGCAAGGGACGGGGAGAAACCCGAAAATCCAGCAAAGACAACAACCATCTGCTCAACAATCTGACCAGGACCCTCCTCCTCCTTCCTGTCTCAAACCTGCAGCCCTTTAGAACATCCTGGAAAGTATTTTTGGGTTCTGGCTCAGTTGCAAGACAAGAGAGAAAAGGATGGAAATGTTGAGCAGGGGATTTACCCTGCAGCCGTGGTGGGCAGGGACCCTGTCTCGATTGCAGGTGTTCCCAAAGCTGCTCCATCCCTGCCCTCCTCACCTGCACAGGGCACAGGGAATAGACAGGGCTCTGCCCCGCCCCTGCCCCACCCCTTTCAGGGTACCCCTCCACTTCCCAGAGCTGTGAGGGCCTTACCCTGGCAATGCTCGGTCCCGACACATCGCGACAGTGGCTTCGGACACGCTGCCACAATCGGTTCGGACACCCCGTGACCGTCCCAGCACTCGCAGCGCGATACCAGCTGGGCCCCTTCCCGGTGCTCCGGGACCACCATTGCTGTCCCTCCTTTCCGCAGACCCCACCACAGGGTCTCTGCTCCCCCCTGTCCCGGGGTCTCCCCTCCGCCGTTTCGCTCCCTCCATGCTCGGGACTCCCCAGTGGGGTCCCGGTCCCTCCATCCCGACCCTCCCCACCCGCTGCCCCCCGGCCCCTCCGGCCGCGCCCCCTGACAGCCCCGGGGCCGGCACCAGCAGAGGCTACTGAGCTCCTGCAGGATGAGACGTTCATGGGGCAGCGCCGGCTGAGCGGGACCCGGCTCCCTCACGCTGTCCTTGCCCACAACACTCGGGCTCCAGCAGCCCCGGGCTGCTCCTTCGGGATGTGCCGACTGCTCCTGGAGCGCTGCCCTTTGTCGGGAACGAGCCCGGGAGTATCCGAATCATCCCCAAGGCCTGGGCCGGGACCTCCTGTGAGGCTGCGCCTAGACCCTGAGGGGTTTGGGAGCCTGATGGGTGTCACTGCTTTGTCTCAAAATCTGGGGAGAGCAAGAATGGCAAGTGGTGTCCCACCATGGCCCGGCCCCCCTGGGCCTCACCTGAGCACCCTGCAGAATTCCCGGCGCTCCTGCTCCACCTGCATGGCCAGGTGCTTTTCCCGTGGGCCACCTGCTCCAGCCGCTCCCGCCTCAGCCGCAGAATCCCAAAATCCCCAGGAGAAGCAGCAGAGCCCTGTGTTTGTGCACAGGGATGCTTTAGGAACACAGCAGACCTTCAGAAATCCCAACAATAATTACAGTAACTCCTGAAGGGTCTGCAGCGTCTGGAGCAGAACAGGGGCATTGGCCCAAACAGCTCCAATTTAGCCCCATTTTGCCCTCTCAAGGCACAGCTCCCAGCCCTGGCTATCTCTGTGCTGCAGCTGCAGAGCCCTCAGGGCTGTGCCTCTGCTCTCCTCCTCCTTCCCTGCAGCGGCTGTGTCAGAACCAGCAGTGGCCCAGGAAGAGCAGGAAATCCAAATGTGCTCTGCAGCCACCTGAGGAGCCCTGGCAGAGTCAGCACTGAGCACGAGCTTTCCTCAGCATCCCAGGGAAACTCAACATTCCCAGAGCTGCTGTGCCCAGGCTGAAGGAGGAAAAGGGAATGGAAGGCTGTAAAGCAAGCAAAAGTGATGTTGTGAACCCGAGACATGTCAGGCGCTGCCTTTCTTCCCTCTGGGATTATAGACAGTGGTTGCGGTTGTTGTGCAGGGCGTGAGCCTGGCCCCAGGACACTGCTACACTGCCAGTGGGCACTGGGATCCAACCTGCTGCCTTGGTGGCTTCTGACCGCTTCCAGTGATGGTGCCGGGACCGATTGGGGCCCGTGAGTTTGCAAAAGGAGTGATTTCCCTTCCTCCCTCCCATCCGAGGCCGCCATGCCCCCTGAGGGGATGGAGCTGGACCGGGGCGCCCCCTGCTGGGCGAGAGTGCTCCCTGCAGAGTCCCCTGTTGGCCGGGGTTAAAACTGCCACAAAAACCAACAGCGCTGAGCAGGAGGGAAAGTTCTGGGTTTGTGTTGTTTCTTCTGTTCTGGTTTATAAATTTCCCAGGAAAGAGCTGTTATTCATTCTCCAACACTTTGGCCTGGAAGCCCCATCATTTTTGAAATTAACAAAAGTTTTAGGCATGGGTCTTCTTTCCATTCCGGGAACATTCACACCTTCCTTGGCAAATATTTCTCATTTAAACGAGTGGTCAAATCCTGGGTTCCAGTGTGGATGGGACAGAGACCTCAACTGAAGACAGGGTCAGGCATGTGCCACCTCATGCTCTGCCCTTTAAGCCAGTTGGGCCACCAAGCGCCCTCTCCCCAGCTGGCACTTCTAGTCTCCTGGCCACTCAGGAGCTGGCTTTGGCAGAGTGTCACAATGTCCCCAGTGTGCCATGGCTGACAGACTGATGGACAGACGGGGCCCTGTCTCAGCAAAAGCACGGTCTGGCCCACCCCTGCCAGACACAGGTGTTCCAAAATGTCTCCAGACATCAAACTTTTCCTGTCTCTGACACCCTGTGCCATGGCCTGATCCTGACTGCCCTGGCAAAGGAGGAGGCTCTGGAACCCCCACAGGGCCCTTGTGACATCCTGGTGTTGGGAACACGGAAGAGGAGGGGTTTGGGACAGGGGACAAGAGAATCCAGAGACTCCTAAATGCCACTTTGGCCATCAGAGCAGTGAAGTTCCGAGACCTGCCAGGTTCCTCCTGGTGGAGGAATCGTGCCAGGGGAAACCTCTGGGGTTTGTTCCTTTTTGAGTGCTTTCCCTGGAAATGGTTCCTTTTGTGACCCTTTGAATTCTGAATCTTGAGAACTGAGAAGTATTGATTCAACAACCAGGCGGGACCCTCCTCCTTCCTGAGCCAAACAGGGCAGAGCTAAACAAACAAAAACCATTTCTTCTGGTTTAATCAAAAAGCTGATATTTGGGTCCAGTAAAAGGGACAAGGGTCCTGTGCCTCCTGGTAGTAGAGGAGGAAATGGGGAGCCTCTGGGGGTACTGGGAGCACTGGGAGCACTTGAACGGGGAGCCCTGGGCAGCTCCACATGGGAGCCCCCACTCGTGGCAACTCCCTGGGCACGGTGGGCACCCATGGGAGCTGGGGGTGCCCTTGGGCAGGGACCCCAGTGCTCCCTGTGCCCTCAGTGTCACAGCACGTTCTCGCAGATGTCCCTGGGGTCCTGCTGCCTCCGGTGGGGTCCTGGCAGCTCTGCATAGATCACCTGGGGGGATGTGGCACGGGGGGGCCCTGTGAGAGACACCGGTTGTGGGGACCTGGATTGAGGGTGACACCCCCTGGGTGATGTCCCCCATGTCCCCCCTGTACTCCCCACCTGCCTTCTTGATGCTCACGACATCACTGTAAAGCACCTCCCCTGCCTCTGGGAGGGCCGAGGGCTCTGGCGAGGCCCTGCAGGGATAAGGGGGTATCTGTGGGCATGGGGGGGGTTTTGTTGTGGAGGTAAAATGGAGGTTCAAACCTGGAGTCCTTCACTCACCTTTCTTGCTCTTTCCTGAGGGCTGCAAAAGAAAAGCATGAGGGGTGACGCTGGGGTTCTCAGGGCTTCTGAACACCATGGCGACCCCTGACTGTCCCTGGGACCCTCAAGCATCTTTGAAAGTCCCAGAATACATTAAACCAACTTTTCAATCCACTGAGACACCAGAGTCCCAAAAACTCCCCCAAAACCCCTGACAGAACCCCCAACTTCCCTGCACAATCCCGCACAACCTCTCCAAATCCCCCAGGACCCCAAGCTGAGGTCTCTGCAGGATCAGTTTCTCCCAAGTCAGGAGCTGTTGATGCCACCCTATGGCTCCCATACCCTGGGGGACTTCACCCCAATCCCTGGGAACCCCATCCCCCCATATTGTCACCCACCACAGCAGTGCCACTGGTAACAGCCCCCGATGCAAGCCAGGAGCAGGAGCAGGAACAGCAGGGACCCACTGAGCCCTAGAGCCACAGCTGGGGACAGAGAGGGACACATTGGGGTCACCCAGAAGCCCAGGAGTCCTGCACCCCCCATGTGACCCAGTGTGACCCCACCTGTGTCCCTGTGTCCCTGCACTGTCACAGCCAGGACCAGCTCTGGGCTGAGTGCCCGGAACACGCGGTGCCCGTCCTGTCCCAGCTGGTTGGTGGCCACGCACTGGTAGGTGCCCGAATGTCCCACATCAACAGCTCCAAGCTCCAGGAGGGGACCCCGGGCCACCTCCTGCCCGTTGTGCAGCCAGGTGAAAGTGACAGGGGCTGAGCCCACCTGCACTGAGCAGTGCAGGGTCACGGGGTCACCGGCATGCACCTGGTGTGACAGGGGACCGGGGGTGATGGTGGCATTGGCCACAGGCACTGTGGGGACAGAGACAGGGCTGGCACTGGGCGAGGTGGGATGGGGGTGCCATGGGAGGTGTCACGACGGTGACATTCAGGAGGTCACTCTCAGCCACGCTGTCCCCATCGCTGACCCGGCACCGGTACTGGCCGCTGTCATTGTCCCCAGCATGGCACAGCTGCAGGCAGGGACCGGTTCCCAGCAATGCCCCTGAGCCCTCCCGGTGCCAGGAGAAGGACAGGGAACCCGCAGCCACCACCTAGCTCAGCACCAGTCAGTCCCTGCATGCCACCTGTCCCCCAGGGGGCTGCACTGACAGGGACACCCCTCAAGGGCAGGACCCCTTGGATGGGGGGACACCAGGGAACAGTGAGAGACCCGTGATGGGGAGGGATGGGAGAGGGGAAGTGGGACCACAGTGAGGAAAAGGAGGCACAGAGATAGGAGGAGGGCTTGGAACGGGACCCCAAGGAATGATGAAGGGCTCAAGGATGAGTAACCTGGAGAGGAAGATGGAGAGACCCCAGGAAGATTATGTAAAACCAGGGAGGGAATGGTGAGACTTGAGGACCATGGAGGGAGATCAGACAGGGCTGAGCTTAAATCAGGGACAGAAGAAGGGATGCCAGTGAGGAATGGGGGGGCACAGAGGGTGACCCAAGCAGGAATGAGGGGATGTGGAAAAAGATTACCAGAAAGATGGGGGTACCCACATAGGGCTGGGGGATCTGGTGAGGTACCCAGGAAAGGATGGGGGACCCGGGTAGTTATGGGGATCCCCAGACAGGGCAGGGGCCCCCGAGGAGGCTGTGGGGGCTCCCTGTGCCCATCCCCGCACTCACTGCACACCGTGATGCGGAGTCGGGCGCTGCTCTTCCGCACGATCCCCTCCTCGGATTGCACCTGGCAGCTGTAATTCCCCGAATGGGAGACCCCCACGGCGGGCACCAGCAGCTGCGGGGACCCCTGCGGGCCTCTCACCATGTGCCCATCCTGGTAGAACAGGTGCAGGAGGGGGGCTCGGGGCCGCAGGGGGCTGGGGGTGCTGAGGCAGCTGAGAGTCAGGGGGGATCCCACAGTAAGAGAAGGGGGACCCTCCAGCACTGGCACCGAGAAGAGCTCTGGGAAGGAGAGGGGAGGGAGATTTGTGAGCCCAAGTCCCTGGGGAGGGGCTGTGAGGGTGTCAGGGTGGCGGCTGTGGGGTGCTCACCGTGCACTGTCACTGTCACTGAAGCCGAGTGCGCCCACGGTGCCACCTTGGAGTCCACCTGGCCCCTGCAGCTGTAGCGGCCTCTGTGGTTCAGCTGCAGAGGGGACAGGGACAGCTCGGTCCCACTGAGGGACCTCTCGACCTCCTTGTCCCCATGGTAGAATCGCACCCCAGTGACCGACATGTTCGCCCAGCACCGGCAGCGCAGTGTCACCGTGTCCCCCTCCAGCAGCTCCTGCGCCGGCACCTGCAGCACCAGTCGGGCTGTGGAACATGGGAGTCTTAGGACACCTGTGGCATTCCATTTTCTCAAGGACCCTCGAATTGGAACACATCCAGTGCAGCAGGGTTCCCTGAATCCAGAACTGGGGTCCCTCCACTCTGAGATGCTCTGGGATCTCCCCATGTACAGGGGATGGGCTCTGGTCACACCAGGATGTGACCCATGGAGCAGAGCACACCCAGAGACCTTGGGGTCCCTGCAGGTGCCAGGCTGGAGACAACCAAACCCCTCTCACCATTTGAGACTGTCACAGAGGGGCTGTGCCCGTTGCCGGGTCTGTCACACGTGTAGGTGCCACTCTCGGTGACAGTGAAGTGGTCATGTCCCTCCTGCCCCCAGCGCTGCCCGTCCTTGTACCAGATGGTGGCACCGGCAGTCCCTGAGCCCTTGCAGGTCAGTGTCACCCGGTCCCACAGCACTGCCGGCCTCCAGGGGGGCTCCACCAGGAGCTGGGTGGTCTGGGCACCTGTGGGTGACAGGGGACACCAGCCTGCCAGGGCTAGCGTGGGGCTGGGTACAGGAGGGTTGGGGCCATGGCATCCCCCGAGGACTCACCAACGAGGCCGAGGGTCTGGGCTGGAAGGGAGAAGGGACAGGGCTGGGTGAGGGTGGCATCACAGGGACATTGGAAGGGAGGGACTGGGTGTGGGGGCTGTCCATAAACTGTCATAGTGTGGCAAGTACCCCTTGGGGGCAGAGACACACCGACTAGCCCTTGCTCAGTTAAGACATGGGGACACGTTGGACATACGGAAAAGGAGACTCAACAGTGGTTGCAGTGGTCACCCCCACCAGCCCCATGAGAGTTCCCCAAATCCCTGTCCCCCGTTATTGTCCCCCCTCTCCTGTCCCCACAGCCCTGGTCACCTCATGCTCTGGCTCTGCGGCCTTTCGGGACCTCAGGGGACCCTGCAGCTCCCCTCTGTTCCCCTCCCCACTAGTCTCTGCCTCATCAGGGCCCATCCCCAGGGTGTCAGGCCCATGCCCAGGGGACTCACCCCACAGGAGCAGTGCCACCTTCCCAGCCATCCCGGTGTCTCCAGCCATGTGCACTGGCTGTCACTCGCTGCTGTGGCCACCGCTCCCCTGGCTGGTGGCTCTTCGGATGAAGGGGAAGGAAGCGAGGTCACGTCCGTCCCCACATGTAGGTGGCCCTTGGTGGGGGCAGGCTGGGGACAGGATGGGGGCAGGGTGGGGAACTTGTGGGATGTGGGGGTGATGGTGGGACATGGTGGGGACAGAATTTGGAGTCTGAGGTTGTGTAGGGAGCCAGAAATAGGTTTCCAGAGCAATGGGGTGCCCAGGGATCGGGTCCCATTGGAATGGGGGTCCCAGTGGATGGATGGACTCAAACTTGGGGATGAGGGTGCCAGAACAATGTGGCCTCCAGGGATTTGTGATCATGGGATGGGGGCCAAGTGATGGGGGTGCCAGGGGAAAGGGGAACCCTGTAACAATAGGGGCCCTGGTGGAATCAATGTCCCCAAGGGAATGGGGCTCCCAGGGACTGGAATTACCAGGATGGGGTTCTTTGGGGTAGGAGATCGTGAGGAACTGCAGTCCAGGGAAGGGGTCTTAGGGAAGGAGGTACAAAAGGAAATTAGATTCCCATGATTGGGGTCCCAAATGAATAGGGGTGCTGGGATGGGCAATTGCTGTGGGGGCATGGGGGTCACAGCTCCTTCCCTGGGTGCCTCAGATTTTGGGGTGACCCATGGCCAGGTGCTGCCCCCTTGGGATGCTTGTTTCCTGTGCAGGTATCACATGGGGGTCCTGGGTAGCTCTGCTTCTGTGCCTTCCCCTGCCCTTGATTTTTTCTCTCTTTATTTCTGTTTTCTTCCTTTTTTTCCTCACTTTTATGCCATGTCCCCTCAACCCCAGTTCCTGGCTCCACAATCCCAGGAATCACCTGAGCAGGGAACGCATTGGGGGAAGCCATGGGAGGGGGATAATTGGGAGTAAGGAGAGCAGGGAAGGATGGGGAGGCTGTGGGGGATGGAGGTGTTGGGCTGCGCCCCCTCAACACTTTCACTTTCTTTTTCCTGGACAAAAAGGAAGAGGCCATTTGTGCTGAGAGTCAGATGGCAAAGGGAGGCAGTGTCTGTCCTGGGAGGGCACATCCAGGAGGATCCTGCCCTGTGAGGTCCCTGTTGTGGAGTTGACCTGGGAGAAACCAGTCCAGGGGGTGACACATCCTGGCATGGGGTGTCCTGTCCCCATGGGTGGCAGTTTCAGAAATGTCCCTGCACATTCCTTGCCGGGTGCCTGTCAATGCAAGGATGGGGCCTAGTCATGGCCCAGCCCCACTGCACAGGGACGGCCATTGCCTAGCCCTGCTCTGGCCAGCCCCAGGTGGCAGCCAGCAACTGAGGGTTCCCCCTGCCCCCTTGGCTTTGATTCTGGAAGCTTTAGAGCTGCTGTAGAAGTGAGAATTCTGTGGTGGAAAAAGGCCTGCCTGTGGTTTGCTCAGCTCTGCAAGAAGCACAAAACCCAAAAGGAACCCAAGCAGCGGCTCTACAAGGGCCTTTGATGGTTTTCAGAGCAGGGCTGGCTGGAAACTCCCCATGCAAGGGCAGCTGTGTGGGAACCAGTCCAGAAAGGCAGCAATTGATCATTTTGTCCCTCTCAGCAAGGGACTGAGAGAGCCCCAGCACTACTGCAAAGACAACAACAATCTGCTCAACAACCTGACCTTGACCCTCCTTCTTCAACAAAACCTGCAGCCCTTTGGAACCTCCAAGAAAGAATGTTTGGGTTCTGGATGTGCACACCAGAAGAGAGGGAAAAGTCTGGAAATATTGAGCAGGGGCTGCAGACAAGGCGTTGGGGAACAGGAGTGCCAGAGCAGGAGCACGGAGTGCCCAGGCAGGGGAATTCAGGGCAGGCTGGAGTGGATTTACCAGGGAATCAAACCCTGAGACACACATGGGCATTTCCACAGATTCCTGTGCACTGTCCCAAGAATGGGCAGAGCTTCTCCCATTTGGGGAGCTGAGTCCATGGGAAGTCATTCAAGTTTCAGGGTGGGACTGAGAAAAATGGGGAGAATTCCTAAATATGGCTCAACAAAAGGCTTCCTTAGGGGCTGGGTTACTGCCAAGCAGGCAGGGAACAGTTGCATGGAGCTGTTGGATACTCAGGGAGATTCCATGCACTCTGTGGTATCCACAAGCAAATGCTGCCCTTGGATGCAGCACGGGGCTCCTAAAGGGAGAAAAAAGCCATCTTTTTTTGTGATTTGTTTGTGTTTTCATTGTGAGTGACTTGTTGGGAAAGCAATGATTCAAAGTATTCTATAAACCAGCTAATTTTATACCTTGTCAGTTTGATTTATTTTTTATTGGGAAAATAATGGTGTGGGAAAAGATTCTTGCCTTTATTCTATGGATGTGTAATTTTGTCCCAGCCAATTGGTCATCACATGTTTGCTGAGGTCACTGAGCTGGGAAATGGGAGTGGTAGGAAAAAGCCCAGGAGTGTGTGGGGCAGAGATCGAGAACCTCCCAGGACAACCTTGAGTTGCCCCCCTGGCCATGAGCACTGTGGGGAATGTGCTGGGTTATGAGTCACCCAAAAATCTGAGGCAATCCCAGAAACAGCTTTGACCTCTGTGCCCACACAGACATTGCCCATCCCTGGCACCCCCATTCCCCTTGGAACCCAACCCCATTGCCTTGCTCTCTCCTCCCAGAAGACTCCCATCCCAGGACTGCCATTGCCCAGGACCACCATTGCCTTGATCAAATCTCATGGGCAGCTTCCTCCCCCAGAACATCTGTTCTCCAGGGTCTCCTTTCCCTTTGCACCCCCAACCCTGGCACCCACATGCCATGACCCCAAATCCCCAGGAAACATGTTTCCACAGCACCCCCAGTCCTGGAACCCCCCCGGCATGGAGGTCCCAATTCCCCTAGCGGCCTATTCTACTGGACACCCATCCTTGGTTCCCCACATCCCCTGAGCCCCCCACTCCTGGCAACAGCATCCCCAAACATGTCCATAGACTATGCAGCCTTGTCCCCAGCTTGTCCTCAGCTTGTGGCCACCCGGCCCCCACCAAAGGCCACCTACGCATAAGGTTGAGATGTGACCTCGCTTCCTTCCCCTTTATCCGAAGAGCTGCCAGCCAGGGGAGCGGTGGCCACAGCAGTGAGTGACAGCCAGTGCACATGGCTGGGGACACTGGGATGGCCGGGAAGGTGGCACTGCTCCTGTGGGGTGAGTGCCCCGGGCATGGGCCTGACACCCCAGGGATGGGGAGGGGAGGGGGCACAGGAGAGCTGTGGGGTCCCTTGAGGTCCCCAATGCCAGCAGAACCAGTCCATGTTACCCACAGTGGACCTGGGTGTGACTGGGGATGTAGGGTGGCTTTGGGGACAGGAAGAGGGGCAGGAATTTTGGGTTGGAGATGTGGGGACAGGAATTTGGGAACTGGCACCTTTGGGCTCAGGGAGCTCTGGGGATAGGGACAAGGGAACTGGGATACACGGACAGAAGGGGACAAGAATGGTGAGGATGTGGCCATGAGGATGGGATCATGGAATGGGATCATGAGCTGGTGGGAGTGACCTGGGCCAGGATGGGGTGTGTCTGTGATGTCCTTGTGCCTGGGGTGTCCACAGTGTCCCCATGTTCTGCCTCAGCCCAGGGTGGCCTCGGTGTCCCTGTTCCCAAAGTGTTCATGCCACAGGGATGTGGTGCATGGGTGGCTGTGACACAGACATGTCCCCCAGCCTCTCCAAATATTTTGGGGACCACCCCCATGCACTTTCCCACAAGAAGTGCTGCCCCTATGTGTGGAGAGCCTGGTTCAAGCATGGCTTAAAGAAAGAGGCCATGAAGGTATACAGCTGATGGGAAAGTAAAAGGTAGCTGTAAAGCAGCATTTCCCAGGCTTGATTCTGTAAATAATTAGGTTCTCAAGCACCATTGCATAAACAATAAGATTCTCAGACAGTCTTCTCATAACAGGCAAAACATTCTGTCCTTGGCTGCTACTGGGAACAGATAGCTGCTCTGGGAACAGATATGAAGGTTTTGAGAACTTTTCATATCACGATGAGAACACTGATCCTGTTTTCAATAAACAAACCACAGGTATTGTAAACAAAAGGAGGGGTTAGAGTTTTCTCTGTAACTTATCGTGAGCTCGAGTTTTGCGATATGCATGAAGTTAATTAACACTGTTACAAAAGGTGGCTGATTTGATCAATAAATGGGAGTTGATGCTGATCAACAAAGATGGGTTGGCTCCCTTTGCTTTCAACACCTATGGGGACAGTTTCGGGACCCCCACCACACCCTGTGTCCCAGGTGCCGTTCAGTGCCACTCCCACTGAGCCCTGTCCCTTCACCCTTCCAGCCCAGACCCTTGACCTTGCTGGTGAGTCCTCCGGGGATGCCATGGGCCCACCCCGCTGTCCCCAGCCCCACGCTGGCCCTGGCAGGCTGGTGTCCCCTGTCACCCACAGGTGCCCAGACCACCCAGCTCCTGGTGGAGCTCCCCTGGAGGGCAGCGGTGCTGTGGGACCGGGTGACACTGACCTGCAAGGGCTCCAGGACCACTGGTGCCACCACCTGGTACAAAGACGGGCAGCGCTGGGGGCAGCAGGGACGCGACCACTGTCACCAAGAGTGGCACCTACAGGTGTGCCAGACCCAGAAGTGGAAACAACCCCCCATGACAGTCTCAGATGGTGAGAGGGTTTGAGTGTCCCGAGCCTGGCACCTGCGGGGGCCCCAAGGGCTCTGGGTTGGCGCTGCTCCATGGGTCACCTCCTGTGTGACCAGAGCCTGTGCCCTGCTCTGGGGACATCCCAAAGCATCCCAGTGTGGAGGGGCCCCTGTATTGGAATTGGGGACCCCTAGTGTGCTGGGGTGCTGAGGCAGCTGAGAGTTAGGGGGGACCCCTGGAAGGGCTCGAGGGGACACTCCAGCACCGGCACCATGAAGAGCTCAGGGAAGGAGAGGGGAGGTGAGGACTGTGACTCTGAGTTTGCTGGGAAGTGGCTTTGGGGGTGCCAGGAGATTGGAGTTCCAGCCGTGGGGATACTCACTGTGCACTGTCACTTTCACTGGCACCAACTGTGCCCA